AGCTGGCAAAAATCTTACTTTTGGATGAAGAGGGGGCACTTGTGGGATAATAGAGAATAATCGAGAACAGCCAATCCCAGAGTAGAAAACTCTGGGAGAGGAGGATTTTTAAAAGGTTGTAATTTGTTGCTAGCAGTTGGGAGAATGCAATTGAAAGAGTCAGTTGCAAGAGTTAAAAGGGAGTGAATGTGTACCAAGTGTCCAAATTGTGTGAAAGAAAAGGTCTGAGATAACTCAATGTGGATGTTATTATATATTCAAAATTAAACACTAGAACCCAATAAAGCAATAACCATTCTGTATGATATGAAAATAAAATTGAATTAAGGGTGATTTTGTTAAACCTGATTCTGACAAGCCTATTTAAGCCTGGAACACTCCAGTATTAAATGCAATTTGATGACAATTTAACTACCATTGTTCAATGCTATGGAATTATAGGAATTGCAGTTTAGTGAGGCACCAGCACTCTTTGGCAGAGAAGGATAAAAAACTTGGTAAACTACAACTGCCATGAGTCCATAGCATTAAGCAATGACAGCCATGTCAAACTGCATTAATTCTTCATTATAGATGTACCTACAGAGTGTTAATCTTACCATAAAGTACACAAAGCTAATGGACACACAAATTTTCCTGAACACAGAACTCAAATTCAAGGAGGGATTTAAGGGCAAAGTGAGAGTGACAGGTTTCCAAAGCTAGGCACTGCAAGTCCAGTCTAGTTAGGTTTTGTCGCATAGTTTAATAATGTATTTTAATTACTGGAAAATCCTGGCAAGGAGAATCCTTGTTCGAATATTTGCAACTTGGAACGTTTTCAGTACACAATTTTTGGACAGACACCAACATTGGGGGCGGCGGGGGGGGGGGAGGATTGAATGTGTGATTATTGCACAGAATAGGTCCTCCAGTTTTGTCTGCACAGGAAACAACATTTTCTGCATGGAAAATAATATTTCTGCACAGAAATTGGCTTTTTGTGGAAAATATTGTTTTTTTCACAAAAATATCAATGTGAAATTTATGCAGTAGACAGTGTGCGTGTGTCTAGGGAAACCTTTTTATTTGGGTAGGTAGACTAACAAGCTGTAAAGAAAGGCAATTTTAGTGACTTGGTGCAGATATTTTAAATGATTTTTTTGAACTCAATAGAGTTTCAATTCTATACAGTACAACCCCCATCTTCATGGGGATACATTCCCAGACTTTGTGTGGATATGTAAAACTGGGGTAATAATGAACACTATTATTTTCAATAGGACAAATGATGGTGGTATCAAGGGTATAGTTTGTACTAGGGCTGGGCGGTTTCGTTTTGCAATTTCGTAATTCGTTAAAAATTCGTTATTTTTTTGATAACGAAGCAATTTTGAACCATTCAGGAGCATCTAAAAAACAAAAAGAATTTTTCAATTCGTTTCGTAATTGCTTCGTATTTGTTTCGTATTCGTTTCGAAATCGTTTCGAAATCATTTTGTTATTATTTCCGCATGTCTGGGGCAAGTTTTATAGCTGTTGTTTGTTTAATCAGTGAAAAAAAATTATAAATATCACACCAACAGTCAACAACAGAGGGAGAGGGAAGCTTCAAAAATTCCCCCTGTCCCATATGGAGGTTTTTTAGTGTATTGCGCGGTCGCGTCTGCCATTAAAGTATCGATTCGTATTCGTTTCGTATTCGTTTCGTAATTGTTTCGTAATCTACAAAATTTCATAAATATCGAACTTTTTTAAAGAAAAAATTCGGAATTCTTTTAAATATCGAAACGCAAAAACCCCCAAAAAATGAATCGAGTTTAGAAACAAATTTTTCCGTGGTTGCCTAGCCCTAGTTTGTACTGTTTATATTGGTTCTATATGCCTTGTGTTCCAGCATTGAAACGTTCTCTTCTGTTTTTATGCATGCTTATTTACTTGATCTGCATCTGCTTTACTGTTTTTATGAAACTGCCCTCAGTTATGGGGCGGCCCTCAGTTATGAGAGAAAGCCAAATATACTTATTTAGTTAGTCACGACATGGAATGGGATTCCATGCAGTGCCTATGATTTTGTAAAGTATTTCCATCCTCTACTTTCATAAAAATGATATGAATGCTTGATGACATGGAATTCAATAGAAAAACAGGAAAAGTACCTGTCCACTCAGATCTCAAAAAGCTGAAGGAGAGAGGAATCATAGAGTTGGAAGAGACCTCATTGGCCATCCAGTCCAACCTGTTGCAAAGAAGCAGGAAAATCACATTCAAAACACCCCCGACAGATGGCTATCCAGCTTCTGTTTAAAAGCCTCCAAAGAAGGATCCTCCACCACAGTCCAGGGCAGAGAGTTCCACTGCTGAAAAGCACTCACAGTTAGGAAGTTCTTTCTAATGTTCAGATGGAATCTCCTTTCCTGTAGTTTGAAGCCATTGTTTCATGCCCTAGTCTCCAGGGCAGCAGAAAACAAGCCTGCTCCCTCCTCCCTGTGACTCCCCCTTACATATTTATACATGATCATCATGTCTCCTCTCAACCATCTCTTCTGCAGGCTAAACATGCCCAGCCCGTTAATCCACTCTTCATAGGGCTTGTTCTCTAGACCCTTCATCATTTTAGCCACCTTTCTCTGGACATAGTCCAGTGTGATTTATTATACCAAAAGCATGTCATTCAAGACTTTTAGTATGCACACCTTTGATTTGTGGTTTGCTATTTGTCTGTCTTTGTTTGCTTTCAGGCCCACAGGGGTTTTTTCTTTTGGATTGAAGGGAGTGGGAGGGACAACAACTGCTTTTAGTTGGCAAAGACACATGGGCCAGAGCTTTGTATGATCAGGAAAACCTTTCACTAGCCACTTAGAGGTAAGCTTGAACAGTTAGTCGGGGACTGCTGATAATTTGCCTACCATTTACTTATCCCAAGATGTTTCTATATCCTGGGTACAAGATGTTGTCCATTGGATACTGATGTAACTTCAAATGAGTACTGAATTAGAAGAAAGATTACTAATTCTCAAATTGTGTTAGATGCCTTGTTGTCATGTGCTTTCAAATTGACTCTTGCCAAGATTTATTGAGAGGAGGTTTATCATTTCCTTTCTCTAAGTCCAAGAGAGATATTTCCATTGGGTTGCCATGGCTGAAGAGGGAGTTATATCCTGCTTTCCCTGAGTAATAATCCAATGTTCAAACCGATATGCCACATTGACTTCTGTTGGATAATTAGCACATCTCTTAACACAGGCAGAATATGTTTTTAGGAAACAAAACCATTGTCCTGGATCTGACATTATCTAGATGCATTGAACCATGGTCCATATTGTCTGGCGGCAAGAGCAAGGACATTTTAGTAAAATATATCAGTTTCTAAGTGTAGTCTTATACGCATATAAGTTCAAGAATGCTGCCCTTTCTCTCCCATTCTGTTTTTATTGTGATGTGGGTTTTTGTTTTTGTTTTGCTATTTATTGATTCAGTTTGAAAACACTTTGCTTCAACCTTCTCCCATTTCCATGGCATAAAGTTATTGTGAGGATTTTTTGTAAATCTCATCTTTTGTCTCTGTGGAAGATTTAACAGGATTTAATTCATGTAAAAGTGCTTGACTAATTTTAAGCCAAACCTGCAACCAAAACAAGTTGGGCTGGATCTTGATAGGAACATACACAGTGCCTACTATAAACACATGGCTTTTTTTAGAAAGGGGTGCAAAGGACCATTCAAAGACTTTTTTAACCTGGAGCTCAGTCAAATGATGGCTTGTAACACTCATGTTCTCCACATTCTTATTTTATCCTCACAACAGCCTTGTGAGATTGAGACAAAGCCACAGTCAGCTTCATGGATGAGTGGAAATTTTAACAGGCTCTTGCCACCTCTTACCTGATATTCTAAGCCACTCTCAAAGAGAGTATCTACAAAAGCTTTAAGCTTCTAGTTCTCATCAGCCTCAGCTAGCTTGGCTAGTGGTTATTGGAAGCTGTGTTCCATAATACTGGAAGAACCCAGTTCAGAAAAGACAAGTTTAATTACGATGTTGGATGTGAATCTTAGAGTGCATCTACAATGCATACACTTTGACACCACTTTAACTGCCATGCCTCAATACTATGGAATCCTGGAATTTGTAGTTTGGTGAGGTCCCATCAGTATTTTTCAGAGAAGGCTGATGAACTTGTTTAATTACAACTCCCAGGAATCCATAAGATTGAGCCGTGACAATTAGAGTGGTGTCAAAGTGAATTAATTCTACAGTATAGATATATATTCCTGATAATCTTTTATTTGTTTTACTAGCTAGTAACCTACGAAGGAGTTCAGGAACCCCCCTGAAAAAGAATAAGAAATATTAAGTGTAGCAATCATACACATAGTGTGCAAAAGTCAAATTTTATGATGTGATATCAATTAATGGAATTTAAACACGAAGTATTACAATAGTAATATTCTAGAACAAACGAAGCATGAGACAAATTTGAAAATTTAAAAGGGGATTTCTTACTTCATCAATGTTATTGTTAAAATAGAGATAAAACCATTTACCACAATTCTTCATAGTCCTTGATAGGTCAATCAAGGTTTGTTTTTTTACCTTATACTGTAAGAGGAACTAATTCCATGCCCATATGCCATTATTTTCTAATTAAATGTTTGAGGACTATGTTTGCACGTGATTAGCTCATAAATTCCTTTTTATAGGATGCCTTGCTTCAAAAGTAGCCTGGAGTCGATCAATCTTTCTTGCAGATGTCAATTTGGTCAGCAGTAAAGAGGTAAATAGAAACTAATGACACTCATCAAGCTCCTGGCACGAATGATTTATTGGGAACGATCATTTAATAGTTTCATAAAGTCAATATAAGAGGGGGGAAACAGGTTTCTTATCAAGGTAAACTGCATTTGGACTGTCAACAGAAGATGATTTATGGCAAACTCCAAGCCAGGATTAGGATATTATAAATGAGAGAAAATGAAAGGCTCATAATTATTTTTTCTGTCCTTAACATATATAACCACAGGTAGAAGACATGCAGTGGAGCAACAAAGAACAAACTCACCCCATCTCAGTCTGCAGTATGCCATGCAAGCCTGGGGAAAGGAAGAAAATGGTAAAGGGAGTGCCATGCTGTTGGCACTGCGAGCGCTGTGAAGGATACCATTACCAATTGGACGAGGTCACCTGTGAAATGTGCCCATTTGACAAGAGACCCAACATTAACCGCACAGACTGCCAACAGATTCCTATCATCAAGCTGGAGTGGCATTCCCCCTGGGCTGTCGTACCTGTCTTTATAGCTATCCTTGGGATCATTGCCACCACCTTTGTCATTGTGACCTTTGTGCGTCACAATGACACACCTATTGTCCGGGCCTCTGGGCGCGAGCTCAGCTATGTCCTCTTGACTGGGATTTTCCTCTGCTACTCCATCACCTTTTTAATGATTGCAAGTCCTGATACTGCCATCTGCAGTTTCCGACGGATCTTTCTAGGCCTTGGCATGTGTTTCAGTTACGCAGCCTTGCTCACCAAAACCAACCGGATCCATCGAATATTTGAGCAAGGGAAAAAGTCTGTCACTGCTCCCAAATTCATCAGCCCAGCTTCCCAGTTGGTAATTACTTTCAGCCTCATCTCCGTACAGCTTGTAGGAGTATTCATCTGGTTTGGTGTTGACCCACCACACATCATAGTAGACTATGGAGAACAGAGAACTCTGGATCCAGAAAATGCCCGTGGAATTCTCAAATGTGACATTTCTGATCTATCTCTCATTTGTTCTCTTGGATATAGTATTCTCTTAATGGTAACATGCACTGTTTATGCTATTAAAACAAGAGGAGTTCCAGAGACCTTCAATGAAGCCAAACCAATTGGATTTACTATGTACACCACCTGTATCATTTGGTTAGCTTTTATTCCAATCTTTTTTGGAACTGCACAGTCAGCAGAAAAGGTGAGTGACCACAACCTCTCTTAAATCCATTTTTTGTTCAGATTCAGTGTTTAGCATCACCGATGATTAAGTCTCCATACTGGATTCAACAGCTATCTTGAAGTCAAACCTCAAAGGGCTTTGGAAAAGGTATGTTTAGAAAAAATAGATTGTTTAAGAACATTCTATGATTATCTAGCACTGATAACTGCTCAATAATCTGAACATTCAAAATATATTAGTGCTTATTCTTATTTTCACCAATTTCTCCTTGCAGCATTTTGATATATGAAATGAAAATTGAAAACAAATAAATGATTGAATAGGATCAAATGTTCTCATTTTGTAAAGGAGTGACATCAAACTTTTAAAATAAAAAAATTAGAATATCCATGCCAAAGAGTAATACAGTTGAATTCATAGAAAAAACAGGTATCTTAATCGAGTGTGTTCAGAAACCAGTCCTTTCCTCTGGAGGTAAAAACAGAAAATAAAGTCATGATGCTGGTACCATAAGATTGACATTTATGTACAGAAAATAGAATATTCAATACATACTATCTTGACTCACTTTGACAAATTTGTTTATGCACAGATACTGGATATGCTGACAGATCAAGGCTGCAGAAAGTTAATTACACTCACACACACACACACACACACACACACACACACACACACACACACACACTAGTGACCTGACTATTATCTTTTTTCATAGTAGTGAATTGTAGAGTTTAATTGCCTGCATTGTGTGGAGATTTTTCGGTCTTTTATTTGGTTTGAATCTAAAACCATTTTGCTTCATTGGATGACCTCAAGTTCCCATACTTGGTGGGAGACAGACTAATTTCTCTTTGTATCTGATGCAGATTGGCATGTCTTTTGTTCAACAAGCTTATCAAGAGCATGCTCTGGGATCTTTTTAAACAATTACTCTTTCCATTTTAGCAGGATTCAATCAACAATGTTTATCTTGTCTCTTGAGGACTGCTTAGGTAGATTTTTATACATTTCATTTTTGAAAATGTAGTGTCAATTTGGTGAATTGCTACTGAAAAGTTGAGAAATATAAAAGTGCATATCAAACTCATACACATGCATACCTACATACTTACATACTTACAATACCGAATAATGCTGGGAAAGCAGTGGAGTGTCATGGCTGTAAATATACTTTTTTTTTGTGAGCGAGATATTGCAAAGGGTTCAAGAAATGTCTACCTAATAAAAAATGAAAACTTCAGTAAATGAAAGCATAACCCCAATGACAGAGATCATAACAAACAGTGAATTGTGAATTCCATTCTCTGTGTCAGATTCCCATTTGTTATCAATGTTCAGGTATAAAGATAGTCGCCAAGTTACCAAAATCCAACTTACAATTGACTCATAGTTAAGAATGGAGGTGAGACAAGAGGAAGTGAGAGAAATCTCCCCTAACAAGCCACTTTTTTCAAAATCCAATTATCACAGGGACAGAAAGTGAGGTGAAATTCTCTGAAGAGGGGCACAGACAGCAAAAGAAACATTACAGGGGTGCTAACCCTTCCCTATACTATCCAAAGTACACATGTGTAAATGTGCTTGTGAGCACATAGGTAAAGGTAAAGGTTTTCCCCTCACATAAGTCCAGTCATGTCTGACCCTGAGGTGTGGTGCTCATCTCCATCTCTAAGCCAAAGCGTCAGCGTTGTCCGTAGACACCTCCAAGGTCATGTGGCCAGCATGACTGTGTGGAGCACCATTACCGTCCTGCCGGAGTGGTACCTATTGATCTACTCACATTTGCATGTTTTCAAACTGCAAGGTTGGCAGAAGCTGGGGCTGACAGTGGAAGCTCACACCGCTCCCCGGATTCAAACCTGCTACCTTTGAGTCATCAAGCTCAGCAGCTCAGCACTTTAACCCACTGCACCTCCATGTGAGCACATACACACATTATATATGGCTGGAGTAACACTTAAAAATGTACCTGTCCTGAGTTACATATAAACTTAGCTTATGAACAAACCTACAGAATCTATCTTGGTCATAACTTGGGGACTCCCTGTACAAGTAAATCATGCACTCAAATAGGCAATGCAAATGGAGAGACATTTCATTGTAAATATGAAAATTGGTGAACTTGAAAAGATTTTTTTTTTTTAGATTATATCGTCCAGAATCCATCAACCAGCATCATACGTGGAACTAGATGTTTGGGTATACATAGTCCATAGAAGTACTGTTTTCTAGTTCTGACAATGCCTAAGCCCATATATGGCTAGAGAAGTTTTAGATGCACCCTCAGTATTTTTTTTATCTCAGTGAAACTGAAAAATAGTTCATGATACCAGGGAGCATTTTACTATTCCCCACATAGCTCCAGCCTTGCTAGTATCAGAAGAAGTAAAATCATGGAGGACATCACTATGTCATTTTGTAAAGGGTCAATGTGGTAATACAGTTCTTTGTGATTAGTTTTTTTACAGGATTTTCTCACACATTAAGCCATCCAAGCAATGTAACAATGAAACATATCAGTGCATGTTTGGGCAAACAAAATTGCAAAAACAAGAACACTCTAACAGGTAGATCGGCCAGAAAAAGAATATATTTGAAAGCAAATATGTACAAACCCACTCAATATTAAAACATTTGTTGAACACACAGCTAATACTTAGAATGAAACAAGCCAATTTACTTTTATCTATCTGTCTGTCTGTCTGTCTGTCTGTCTGTCTGTCTGTCTATCTATTTAAAATACTGGTATTGTTTGTTTGTTTCCCAAAGAAATTGCAGATATGTTTTTAATGTATATATTTCATAAAAGTAATTGCTAGTTCCCTCTGCCCAAAATATTGCCAAATAATTGCACATTAATTGTGACTATAAAAAGGATGCAAAGAGGTGTGATGAAATAGACAAGATGACACTGTTCATCACCTGACAACACATATATTGTGTCTTGCAGTAAATCTGAACCAATAGCTTTGTTGTAGTTGTTGCTCTGTGACGAGCTTGTTCATTATCTCATCTGCATGACTAGCAATCTTTGTCTATCTAACCAGAGATTAATTAAATTGGGTGGAATTTGACTTAAGGAAGAGTTAGGACATTTGTTCAGCAGAACTAAGTCTGATCAGATGGACTCCTAAAGCATTCCCTAACCAAACTGCCACTATAAGTGCCATTTCTTGTTTTGCTTAATTGACATCAAGCACTTAGATATGTCATCTTGACTGGGAGGGGTGATCTGTTACTGTCACATGCTGTTTCATTTCATCTGATAGCCGTATTAGAATACATAACACACCAAATGCTGAATCTTTTTGGTGAACTCACTGAATCAATCGTTGAAAGGTGAGCCTACATTTACATATCACATACTACATATTGGGACTACTAATGGGATTGAGCCTAGAAACATTCTGATTCTACTTGTATTTTATATACAAAAAGATGATGACAACAATGAAAAGAACAACAATGCCTGTTCAAATAGGCAATACAAATAATGTTCATCCAAACTGTATGTTTTTCAGGCTACAGTATTCACAGCTGATATTCTTATGTAGTTAGTCTTCTTTCTTTTTTTTAACCAATAAGGCTCAAATCACCTAATAGCTTAGCTATGAGTAATGCTAGTAAGGGATTCATAAGATGAAAAATTTACTTTTCCAGCATCTGTGAAAAGAGAGGGGTGTTTGGTTCTGGCCTAAAAGTGCTCTAAGAGCAACCATTTCTATCATAGAATCATAGTCATAGAGTTGGAAGAGACCTCATGGACCATCCAGTCCAACCCCCTGTCAAGAAGCAGGAAAATGGCATTCAAAGCACCCCTGACAGATGGCTATCCAGCCTCTGTTTAAAAGCTTCAAAAGAAGGAGTCTCCACTACATTCCGGGGAAGAGAGTTCCACTGTTGAACGGCTCTCACAGTCAGGAATTCTTCCTAATGTTCAGATGGAATCTCCTTTCTTGTAGTTTGAAGCCATTGTTCCGCATCCTAGTCTCCAGGGCAGCAGAAAACAAGCTTGCTCCCTCCTCCCTATGACTTCCTCTCATGTATTTATACATGGCTATCATGTTTCCTCTTAGCCTTCTCTTCTTCAGGCTAAACATGCCCAGCTCTTTAAGCTGCTCCTCATAGGCTTGTTCTCCAGACCCTTGATCAATTTAGATCAGGAGTCCTCAAACTAAGGCCCGGGGGCTGGATGCGGCCCTCCAAGGTCACTTACCTGGTGCTCGCTCAGGGTCAACCTAAGTCTGTAACGACTTGAAAGCACACAGCAACAACAACAATCCTATCTCATCAGCCAAAGGCAGGCCCACACTTCCCATTGAAATGTTAATAAATTTATATCTGTTAAAATTGTTGTTCATTTTAATTATTGGATTGTTTTAAAGTGGTTTTTGTACTACAACTAAGATATGTGCCGTGTGCATAGGAATTCATTCATTTTTTTTTCCAAATTATAATCCAACCCTCCAACAGTTTGAGGGACTGTGGCCTAGCCTCTGTTTAAAAAGTTTGAGGACCCCCGATTTAGATCATTTATCCTTGTTTCAATGTTGAACAAAATAATGGAATATCATTATATAGCCATGATGTCTTATGCAGAGATATTCTCCACTTTTTCTGTAACAATGCAGTTCCCATCAAAATTCTTCACATGACAGTGAAGTTCTTACTATCTAAAAAGCTTTACAAATGTATTTGTGGGAGGGGAAGTCACCTCCCACCTCTAATTAAAAGTTAACCAAAAATCCCACAGATCTAACAGCTTTTCCACTGTAATCACCATTATTTCCTCCTTACCTTCACTGTTTGAAGTTCCAAAGTGCTGCACCAATTCTAGGAACAGGGTTCCCTGCCTTGTATACCTCTATTAGAGTTTGCATTAAAGGCCAGAGCATCCCACTAACATGGAAGATGATAGTGGTGTAAGAGGAGCAACTTGAGAAACTGCAAGTAACCTCTGGTGTGAGAACTGGATGTTGCCCAGGGGATACCTGGATGTTTTACCATCCTGTGGG